TTTCATTAGCTATGCCTGCCACTTCTTTCCATGGCTTTTCCTAGCCTGGGACCTGCACTATGCCACTTTTACCCATCCGAGCTCCAAGTTAAATGAAACAGAGACCAGTCCTCAGCCCCAGACAGATTTGAGTGTTGCTCCATTCCCCTTTGGATTTGAAGGACGGAACTGGGAGCTGGGCTGCCACTTCCCAAGGACTGCATCCTGTACCATGCTGTGCTGGAGAGGGGTGGGGAAAGGGCAAGTGAAAACACCATGGGATTTTCTATCACTTTAAATGTATCTTTTTCTTCACTGAGCATTTGATTGGTTGCTATTGACCTTTGACTGTTTTTCCAGAGTTCCTATAACATTTCAGCCAGTTTTTTAAAAAAATGTTCCCATGGAGAATGAGGACCTGGAGATTTGTAGTCCACTGTCTTGTGGGCATCACTCCAACTCCACTCTCCTTTGCAATCTCCTCTAAGTGTGAGACCAGCCCATAATATCCCTGAGTACTGCATCACCCACAGGCTCCTAAAGGTTTTGCTCAACCAGTCCATCTTGCGTTTGGCACTTCCCTTACACACACTCACTCCCCAAACAAGGCCAGGTACACTTGGAGCTAATGGTGACCACAGGTCTTGTCTGGCCAGAGGCGTGGTGACTGCTAATGTTTTCCATAAAAACAGCCTTATCTGGTTCTCAGAAGTCACCATCCACCTTCCCCCCGCTTCCCCACACCAAACCTGCCAGTTCTATCTTGCCCTCTTTTCCTTGCCCATTTCCCAAGAAGACAGGAAGATGTCTAGATGCCTCTGCAAAAGTCTGGCCGGGTGTGGTGGCTCACGCCTGTAATCCTAGCACTCTGGGAGGCTGAGGTGGGAGGATCGCTTGAGACCAGGAGTTCAAGACCAGCCTGAGCAAGAGCAAGACCCCATCTCTACTAAAAATAGAAAAATTAGCTGGGCGTTGTGTCATGTGCCTGTAGTCCCAGCTACTCAGGAGGCTGAGGCAGGAGGAGCACTTGGGCCCGGGAGTTTGAGGTTGCAGTGAGCTAGGCTGACACCACGGCACTCTACTCTGCAAAAGAGTGAGACTCTGTCTCAAAATAAAAAAAAAAAGTTTAAGTGCCTCAGTCTTGCTGGCCACAAATACACAAATAAAGATATTTAATTTCAAGTAGGCCTATTCAGGCACAGTATTTTCCAAAAGCCTTTAAAGCATAGTGGAAAACCAAGAGCCTATTTGTGGTGTTTGAAGGTAAAAATAGAAATGCACAAATTGTGGAACCAGTGCCAGAGAGCAGCAGCACATCCCTGGACATCCATACAGGAAGTGCCACACCTGCCTCAGCAGGTAACGCATTCTGGGGAGGGCCAGGCCAAGGACAGCAGATGTTCTTCAAATCAAGGTGCAAAGGAATTGGAGACAGGAAATATCCAGATGCCTAGAAAAACACTCCACTGAGAACAGTTCTGGAGGCAGAATTATATGGACACCCCTGCTATGGTATTTTCAAGATATAATGGGGACTGTGGTGATTGCTGAATATAATTCCCCTATACACAGAGACCCTAAGGCCACATCCTTAAGACACAATTATCTGCTGCCCTCCATAGGGGAACTTCACTCCTACCTCTCCCGTCAGTCCTCCCCCTCCTTACCTTCCTCCTCTCTTCCACCCAGTTTCCAGTGAGCACTTTGGTTGAATACTTGGTCTCGATCTGCCAGCCTGGAGTAGAGAATGACTGGGGATTTATTGCAGTTGAAAGCATGGTAAGGATTTGCCCCCAAGTTCCTTTGACTGGACACAGTTTAAGGTTTCAGGAGCAGGGGGAGGTGTTAGGAAGCTGCTGAGTTTGGCGTGCCTTTTTTTCTTCCCAGCTGCTCTCCTGAGTGGGTAGTAAACGACACCCTGATGACTTCAGGGGATGAAACAGCTAAGAGTCCACTTTCAGCCTCCAGGGAGAGGTGACGTGATCTTGGACTCTCTACTGTTGACTGTCTCCACGGTGACAGACTCTGGGTATAAATACTCTCCTTCAGGGAGCAGCTGATTCTACAGAAGCAAAACTGACCCTATAAAAACAAATCAAACCGACAATCTCCACCCTAAAAACGGTAGCCAGAAGGACCTGGTTTCTGTGTCGTCACCCCAGGACAAGCATCATCCTTGCTGCATTTTTACAATGGGGGTGAGTAGAATTCTACTGCTATTTAGGAAATGCTGATTAACGTGCTTATCCCATGCTAAGAAATTTATATACGTGTATTCAACCTGTTTAATCCTCACGGCAGCCTTCTCAGACAGATGCCATTATTGTACCCATTTTACAGAGGAGGACACTGAAGCAAAGAGAGATTAAGTAGCTACCTAAAGTCATGTAGCTACCATGTGGAAGTGTAGGGGTTTAAATCCACTGTGACTCAGGCCTAAACTACTGGGCTTCATTCCCTACCTGTCTGCTACTTTGACTAAGGGGTTTCCATAAAGAATCCTGTCTTTGTGCTCACTCTGGTACGATGTGGTTCCTTCCATCAGTCTTCATTCATTCATTCCAAGATCATTTTGAGATAGGGAACCGTCAGGCCCTGCTCAACAAGGAGTCATAAGACCCGAACCACAGTCTCTGATAAAACAGGAGGCGGCAAAGAAACTGGCCTAAACCAGCCAGAACGAAGATGGCCATGAAAAACCTCAGGTTACCCTCACTGCTCATTATACCTTGTTTTTCATGCATTAGCTGCTGAAAGAAACTCCCACCAGCGCCATGACAGTTTGCAAATGCCATGGCAACACCCAGAAGTCACCCCGTATGCTTTAAAAAGGATGAGGAACCCTCAGTTCCAGGAACTCCCCACCCTTTTCCCAAAAATCTTATAATTCTCCCGCTGCTTAACATGCAATTAAATACAGCATATAAAATAACACCCTAGAAACTCACCAAGTGCTACTCTCTGTTGCTCTGAGAGACAGCTGCTGCTCTGTCTATGGGGCAGCCACCTTTCTTTTTTTTGTCTTTTCCTACTTCAATAAAATACTTCAATGTATTTTACGTTTTTACAAATGTGTTTAACGTCTGGACTGCTAAAAGACAGCTGGATGCTCCTTTCTCCTGCGTGCAACCTGTTGTTTTGTTTATAGGACAAAGTCTGGCCTCACACAGATACGTAGTTAGAAGAAAAGAAGTATTTAAATAGCCTTTGCAGCTAATTGTGGGTATTCTTTGTGATATTGTGATATAATAAGAAATACGTAATTGGTCTTTGTCCACAGTTCCTGGCACAGAGCTCATAAAACCCTTGGAATTTCCTGAGTGGTGGGGTAAGAGGAGCATCTTTTGTTATTCATAACAAACTTCTTTCAACTGTATCTGAGTTTATGCAAATCAGGTGACTCTTGGTGAGTCTCTAGATAACCAAGATGGTGGCTGGTTGCCAGCGGAACCAACCACAGGATTAGAGGGTTGGAACTTCCAGCCCCAGCCTCTGACCTCATGGAGAGGACAGAGGCTGGAGATTGAGTCTGTCACCAATGGCCAATGATTTAATCAATCACATCCGCACAATAAGCCTCCTAACAACCTAATCAAAGGGGTTTGGAGAGCTTCTGAGTTGGCAAACGCATCCATGTGCCAGGAGGGTGGCACACCCCAAACTCCACAGGCAGAGAAGTTCCTGTTCTTGGGACCCTCCTGGACCTCACCCCATGTACCTCTTCATCAGGCTGTTCATTTGTATCCTTTAAAATATCCTTTATAGGCCAGGTGCAGTGGCTCACGCCTGTAATCCTAGCACTCTGGGAGGCCGAGGCTGGCGGATCGTTTGAGCTCAGGAGTTCGAGACCAGCCTGAGCAAGAGCGAGACCCCGTCTCTACTAAAAAAAATAGAAAGAAATTATCTGGACAACTAAAAATATATAGAAAAAATTAGCTGGGCATGGTGGCGCATGCCTGTAGTCCCAGCTACTTGGGAGGCTGAGGCAGGAGGATCGCTTGAGCCCAGGAGTTTGAGGTTGCTGTGAGCTAGTCTGACACCACGGCACTCACTCTAGCCAGTGCAACAGAGTGAGACTCTGTCTCAAAAAAAAAATCCTTTATAATAAACTAGTAATAGTGGTAAAGTGTTTCCTTGAGTTCTGTGACAGTTGTATTATTGAACATGAGGCAGAGTTGTGGGAACCCCTGATTTGTATCCAAGTCAGACAGAATGTGTGTAATTTGGGGGCCCACGACTTGGGGCTGGCATCTGAAAGAGGGGGTAGTCGAGGGACTGAGCCTTTAGCCCGTGTGGTCTGTGCTCACGCCCAGCAGTTAGTGGCAGAATTAAATTATTAATTGATTGTAGGATGCCCAGTAGGTGTCTGCCGAGAACCGGAGAATTACTGGGTGTGGAAACCCCACATTTGGTGTCAATGGTGCTGTGAGCAGAAACAGACCATAGCAGTATTATCTTTGCTACCTTACGAGAACTCGGCAAGTGGCAGTCTTTTGAGGTCATATTGTGGAATCTGAAACTACTCAGCAAACTCTTTGAGCTCTGTTACATAAAAATCCACGAGTTGATTTTGTGCTTTGAATACCTTTTTTACGCACTGGGAATTTTGCTGGTCTTTGTAGTGGTCATTTGGAAAATACTGGTTTACTGAGCTGTGAAGATCTTCCAAATGTTGATGTGTTTCATCGCACAATATTTTTAAAAAACCACATTTGCTAATGTCTGATATCCACAGAAAAGCATTTAAGTATTGGGAAGTTGTCAAGCTTACAGTGGTGGATACAAGTTTTCCAAAATCCTGGTTTAAGCTTTCAAGCTCAAAATTTTGTTATTGACAACAGCTACTCTCTCTTATTTACCTTGAAGTGACTTCATTCATTTTCAAGAAAATGTCTGCCAAATATTCAAATTTAAATAATCATGGTTTGTCTTCCAGTTTTTCTTTCGTGTTTCATTTTAAAAAACAAGCCAGCTAATTCAGCTCACAGCGCGAGCCACCTCCCTCGCGAGCGCTCTCTCTCAAGTACCCGTGGTACCTGGGTGTGCACAGCAGCTCTGTTCACATCTCCTTCCCATTCCATCACGCGGAATGTAAAAGACAAGATTTCATCAAATTCATCAAAGGACATTCTTGAGTGAAACTAGTTTGTTCCCTGTGGCTGCGTGGCGGTGACGCGTAAACAACCGCTAACAAAGCCAATGACACCGCCTGGGTCCAGCACAGGCCCCGGCAGTTTTACCCGATGTTGCTTTCGTGCCATCGGTACAGACATCACCGCAGTGAAGCAAACAGCATCTTAGTATTACTGTGAAAATGCTTGTGACCTTACAGGTGCCCTGAAAGGGTCTTGGGACCTCCAGGGGTCTGTGGATGGAACTTGGAAAACCGCTGCTCTAGGATGTATACCTCGGAGTGGGATCGCTGAATCAGAGGGTGTGCGTGCCTTGAACTTGACTAGATAACGCCAATTATTTTCTGAAGTGTTGTATCAATCTACATCCCACTCTGAGTGTGCAAGTGTTTCCACTGCTCCACAATTTCCAGACCTTTTCAGCCTCCCCAAAAATCTCTGTACCCGTTAAGTAGTAACCCCCTGTTCTCCCCTTCCTCTAAACCCCTGGGGATCTCTACTTTCGGCCTCTATGAATCTGCCCATTCTGGGTACCTCGTATAAGTGGAATCATATAATTGTCCTCTTGCATCTGTTCTCTTTCCCTGAGCATCACGTTGTCAAGGTTTGTCCCAGTCATGGCGTGTATCGGAGCTTCATCCCGTTTTAGGGCTGAATGGTATTTCCATTGCGCGTATTTGCCACGTTTTGTTTATCCATTCGTCTGTCGATGGACATTTACTTTGTGTTCACCTTTGGCTGTGTGAGTAATGCGTCTGTGAAGGTTGGCGTACAGTTTCTCTTTGAGTCCCTGCTTCCAATTCTTTGGGTTTATACCTGGGAGTGAAATCGGCACCGCAGAACTGCTTTCCACAGCATCGGTACCACGTTCCCTTCCCACGGCAATGCACAAGGTTCCTGTTTCTCCACATCCTCACCACACTTGTTATTTCCCATTCTTTTGTAACAACCATCCTGATGGGTGTGAAATGATATCTCAGTGTGATTTTGATTAGCACTCTCCTAATGACTAACGATGTTGATCATCTTTTCATGTGCTTATTGGCCATATATGTATCCACTTTGGAGAAATGACTATTCAAGTCCTTTGCTCTTTTTTAATTTTATTTATTTATTTATTTAGACAAAGTGCCACTTTGTTGCCCAGGCTGGAGTGCAGTGGTGTCATTATAGCTCGGAAAAACCTCGAACTGCAAGGCTCAAGCGATCCTCCTGCCTCAGCCTCCTGAGTAGCTGGGACTACAGGTGCACGCCAGCATCTGGGACTACAGGTGCACGCCAGCATGCCCAGCTAATTTATTTTTTATGTTTTGTAGAGATGGGGTCTTGATATTTTGCCCAGGCTGGTCTCAAACTCCTGACCTCAAGTGACCTCCTGACTTCCTGCCTCTGCCTCCCAAAGTGCTGGGATTACACGCGTGAGCCACCGCGGCTGGCCTATGCTCATTTTTTAATCAGGTTGTTTGGTTCTTTGTGGTTGAGTGTTATTTCTTCCTTGGATGTTAAGTCTGGGTGAGGAGGTTTCTGTTTTGTTTTGTTTTTATTTTGTTTTTGTTGGAAGCCTTTCCATTTACGATTCACTATCTTTATTAAGTCTAAAACTAATTAGGTTTTCTTTTTCCTTTTCCAGTTTTAGTAAGTTTTAT